ATGTCTATCCTTTACTCTTTTTTTATTTTTTTATAACCTTGTCTGTGCTTGGGTGTGTTTGATATGTATGTTGTTGGGGGCAGAAAGCATGCTTGTGCCATGAAAGTCAGAGGACGACCTTTGGTTGGTACTCACTTTCCACCTCGTCGGTGATGGGATCCACCCTTCATAAGCCAGGGTTGTTGGCCCCGACCATCCACTCCTTGTTCTGTCTCGAGCTTTTATCTTGCTACTAGGTCCAGCTTTATGTGGATTCTAGATATCTGGACTCCGAGCTTCATGCCCCTTTATTCATTTTCTTTACGTTTTTATTCTACCCTATCTTTGTGTGTGTGTGTCTCACTCCATCTCTTCTCTGGTTATATGACCTCAAGCATACTTGTTTTCTCTTTGCAGATTAATCTCTCATATATATGAACTCTTCATGGTAATAATGCTTGGTGTTGGGGAGCATTCTTCTTCCTGTTTGATAAGTTGAAGAGATGAGCCCCATAAAGATTAGATAATCTATCTGCCTACGGTCTTACAGTGAAGGGCAGAATAGGGTGTTGAATCTAGATGGTCTCACCCCAGAGGCTGTCACCTGAACCACAGGCCCTAGAAAGTGTGCACAGATCCCGGAGTGTCCCACCCTGAATCACTGGGAAGTTTTGCACTCATGTTTTTTTCTCTTCAGCCTCCCCCAAATCAAACTAATAGATCTGTTATACGATAATGTCATTTTCTTAACTTGAATATGTCCAATTGGAGGGACTGTCTGACTGGAATGAGTGATACCTCCAGGTCCTGAAGACCAGTGCCCACTTTGCCCCTAACTTGTTTCATAACCTCGAGGAAGCCATTTAACAGTTGTGTGTCTCGTTTCACCCATTTGCCAGGTAATGAAGAAGAACTACCTGACCTAACAGGCCTACCCCATGCTTTAAAGGGAAAGTGGGACTAAGATGTAGCTAAGTCGGCAAAGTGCTTGTTTAGCATAGTGGAGGCCCTGGGTTCAATCCCCAACAGCACGTGAACCTAGTGTAGTCATGAATATCTATAATCCCAGCAGTACAGAGGATCAGAACAGCTTCATGAGACTCCTGAGAACTTATCTGAGAAAGGAAAAGGTCACGTGAAGTGTCTGCCGATCCGAGAGTGAAGTCCGTCACCAAAGAGAAGGAGACACGTAGTGGGAGCCGTCGGTGCAGATAGCTTTATTGTTAGTGAGGTGCTGTTGGAGGCAGCTCAGGACTTGTTACGACATATTAAAATTATTCTGTGATCTGTCCCTTGACCGTGGCCCCTGAGAAGTGAGTGTACTGTCATGGTTCACGAAACGGGTCTCGAAGGCTAAGTTAATTACAGTCCTTCCACCGAAGCATGGCAAATGGTCTCTCAATTTGAATTCTTTCATATGAGAGAAGAAACTTCCATGACAACAGCCCCGGAACTTAATTACAGGCTCCAGGTTTGAGGAAATGGAGACAGTCAATGGCTGCCATGGGGAGGGCGAAGACAATAGCAGTGAGCCACCTGGGAAGAGCCGGGACAGGGTGACATCACCGTGACACAGTAATAGCAGCCCGCCACATCAGGGACTTTATGCAGAGCGCAATTCTCTCTTAGGAGCAGCTCGTAAGCACTCTTAGTGAATCCCCATGACACCCCAGCACTCAGGGCAGGAGACAGAAAGAACCTGCAGAGCTTGTCTGCAGAAGGCAGAGCGGCATGAAACACATAGATCCTTTAGATGGTGTCTCACTGCCTCGCCCTGGCTGGCCTGGAGCTCACTGTCTAGAGCAGATCAGCCTGAAACTCATAGATACCTTCAGCTGCCTTTGGAGTGCTGGGATTATAGGCAGACCTCACCTCCCCGGTCTCATAAATGTCTTCATTGATTTAGCACGTTTTCGTTTTAGGTATTGGAAGGCATCTGTGCTCACCATTGCCCCACTGGTGCCTCTCTGGTTTGTGTCTGAAGGCCTGGTGTATGCTGGCACCTGCTAAGGTCTGGTAATGCCAAAGTGAGTGGGCCAGTGCTCCTGCTTTAATGGAGTTTGACAAATAGTGGGGCGAGACCAGTCATTAAAAAAAAAAAACAATCAATAAATAATCTCTATGGTAACAGAAGCTATGAAGAAAACCAAGCTGCGTGATATGAGAGGGACTGGGTTAAGGGCAAGTCTCCTAGGAGGTGACATTTGGGCTGAGGCCTACGTGATGGGACAAATGAGCCATGCCAAAACCTATTAGTGAGCATTTTACGAAGATAATCCACACAGCAAAGGCACAGACTTGGAAAGGCATTATTTGTGCTGAGAACACAGAGGCTGGTATGGCAGGGTGAGCTGTGGAATGCGGAAATGCATGCACTGGACTTAGAGGGGGCAGACTCCCTAGAGCAGGCTACCACGTGCCACAGTGAAGCCTATTCCACACACAGAGGGAAAACATTGGCGGGTTCTGGACCAGGGGCTGTTGAGATCCTCCATTTCTTTGGGCAGCTTTCTTCATCTCTGAGCTGTGCTGACCACAGGAAGCAAGTGCAAAGGAAAACGGTTTCCAGCCTTGCAGGGAATCCTGCTTGAGCGTTAATGGGACCGCTGAGTCTCATGAAAAACCATCCTAGGTTGTTCTTAGGGCAAGACGACATTCATAGTGAGGGTGTCTAATTTAAATGGTCATGAGGTAAGAACATCTTAGATCTAAGCCCATCTCAGGACTGTATCCAAACAAGGGTGCTACTTGCCACTGCCTCAGAACCTCCCTTTGGCCCACAGAAAGTAGTGCAGAGGTCCTGACCGATTTTGACCTCCTCTCGCCTGGGGGTCAGACTTAGTGCATAGAATAATCTCACATGAAATAAGAAGAGGTTACATTTTTCTCCCTACCTGTGATGTCTTAGGTAGTGTATCATTTAATTTCTATACAATATATGTGTCCGTGTGTGTGTTCCTGTGCATGCTTAAATATGCGTGTGTGCTTGCCTGTATTGATTTTTATTTATCTTTGAAAACTATTTCTGGAGATGTGATCCACATTCAAGCGTATAGGGCCTGGCTTTTCTGGGGGAAGCGGCATGGGATGGGTGGTTAAGAATTTTCTTGTAAACTCAGCAAGTTGGTTTGTTTGATTTAAAAAGGCCTTTTATAAACATTCCTGCTAATGTTTAACATTGATTCATGTTGCAAAGAGGATGAAATGAACCAGCGGTTTAGGCTAACAGCTCATTATTATGAGACACTATTTCTTACTTTGGCACAGGTATTAAGAGTTAATGCCAGCGGGCTGGGGAGATGGCTCAGAGGTTTAGAGTTCTGGTTAGTCTTGCAGAGGTCCTGGATTTGATTCTCAGCGTGCGCATGGTGGCTAACAGTCACCCATAATGGGGTATTTGACACCCTCTTCTGACCTGTGTAAACACCAAGCACACATGTGATGCACTTGTACATATGCAGGTAAAACATACATACACATAAAACAAACAAACATATGTAAAAAATATTTAAAGAGTCAATGGCAGTGTTTGTCTGGTCGTAGTAGAAACCATCAGTGCACATGCACCCATATTCTAAAGGGTACACAATGACCTTTGAGTCTGTGAGGTGAGGAGCCAAAGGGGCAAAAGATCTATTGCAGAATAAAATGTTAAACTAAACAAGCATATCTGAGTATGATTTGGGGGGAAAGTTGGTCTCTTTGTGGTTGGTATTTATCAATAAATAGCACATGTGTTTCTCAGGGAGAAAAACTCTCAGATGTTAATTTCTTCCAGAATTAGGAAAGTTCTAACAGGACAGAAGCCCAAGGATAGGGACAGGACAGAGCAGCTAAAAGTGGGAGTGGGGAGCACACAGCAGGGCTTATGGACCTAATGATGCTAAATTAGAAAAACTCAAGCTTTACCGGGCGGTGGTGGTGCACGCCTGTACTCCCAGCATTCGGTAGGCAGAGACGGGTAGATCTCTTGTGAGTCTGAGGCCAGCCTGATCTATAAAATGAGTTCCAGGACAGCCAGGACTGTTTCACAGAGAAACACTGTCTCGAAAAAACAAAACAAAAAGAAAGGAAGGAAGGAAGGAAGGAAGGAAGGAAGGAAGGAAGGAAGGAAGGAAAAGAAAAGAAAACTCAAGCTTCCTTCTGAGCGACATGTATCCTGGGCCAGACTCTCTGGCCCTGGCTGTTTAGGCTGACAGGGGCTTCATTAAACTCAGCTGTGAGGCACAGTCACTAACATAAGGGAGAATGGCATGTCACAAAGGCCGGGAGCTAGGACAGCAGCCATTGCTGCCTCTTGCTTGTTTCTGAGGGTGATGAAGAACAACTCATCCTCTCCTGTAACACTCTCATCCAACACTTGTGTTTGCTGTGAGGCTTCTGGAAATATTCTAGATACATATGAACATTAATTCAAGGAGTTAGTGCGATCCCAAGAGCATCCTCAATGCCTCCAGTGTCGGGCCCAGGAGTTTAGGAGTGGCAGGGATTTTGGCCTCCAGTGTCGGGCCCAGGAGTTTAGGAGTGGCAGGGATTTTGGCCTCCAGTGTCGGGCCCAGGAGTTTAGGAGTGGCAGGGATTTTGGCCACACACATTCCCACATCTAATATTGCATGCTCGCCACTTTGCGTTCTGCCCTCGAGCCTTAATAAATTGACTAAAGGTTTGGCTGGAAACTGATTATGTGTTTATTATGCCAAGTTGAGTAAATATATTTTGAAAGGATCACGAGCAAGCACAATCCAGTTAATTAGTTCAAAGTCTTTTTTTTTTATTTACTGAATTCTGAAAGCTGTTAAGTTGTTGATTCTGTCACAGTTGTGATCCAAAGATATTGTTGTTGTTGGGCCCACAAGTTACCCATGCATGTTCTGCCTCTGTGCCTGGAACGACTCTGTTCATAAGCCGAGAGGCCCCTGGGGTTGGAATGTGAGTCCAGCTGACTGGCCGTCCCTCCTCTGGGGAAGACACGCATTGGCAGGTTGACATGCAGTCTGACGTGATCTCTCTCTTCATTCTAGATGCTGAGGAATATCAGCCTCCGATATGGAAATCATACCGTGAGTACCAACGACACACAGACAGATCCCTGCAAGTCTGTAACCTGCCTGCCTTCCTGAAGGATCCCACTGGGGTGCACTGCCTGTGTGTTGTCCCATAAGCCGTCCCCATCCCCGAGCCCTAGCTCTTCTTTTCACTGAGGATATCTGTGTGAGAGACAGTAAACTCTGCACTTGTGCCCAGCCAGAACCTTTAACAACCACTGGCCTGTGTGACCCATGTTAAGGCTGCTCCCGAGGGGAGGGGACCTTCTGACTTTCCATGAATTGTTCTCTTTGCTCATCGCTCCGGGGCTGTAATATCATTCGACATGAACTGGTGGAGAATGGACACACGGTGAAGATGGTCTGATGGCTCGGGGTGACTCTTGAGGAACATAGATCTTGTCTGAGCATTAGCCACCCAGCAGCTCCCGTCATGAAGGCAGGCAATGGCCATTACCTCACACACTGTCTCTCCTTGGTGTCCTGTGTCTCTCTCAGAATTCTCTGTTTGGAGAAGAAAGGGCTGTGGCAGGAAGGAGCCCACCATGGCTGAGACAGGTGTTCCTCCAAGCTCATCGCTAGGTAGCAATCGTTAGTGCTGCTGACAGTATTGATACTGCCATTGCTGCTGCTGTCCACTGAGGACCTGCCTTAGGCTTTGAGCTGCTAATTTTAGATTCTCAGTACAGCCCAACAGGCCGGCATGCTGTTATCCCTACCTCCTCTGTAAGGAAACCATGGCTCAACAAGGGCAGAGGTATCTCCAAAAGGAGTCGGGGGGGGGCATTCAGGAGTAAAGTCTGGGTGCCCAGAAGCAAACCAACTCTTAGGGTGCAAGCAAGCATTCAAGATTTTTTTCTGCTGGTTTAAAATTGTAAACTGAGCACACAGTGATGTATATCTGTGATCCTAACACTCTGGAGGTAAAGGCAGATGCACCTCTTTAAGTTCTAGGCCAGTCTTGTCTATACAGTGTGTTCCAGAACAGCAAGATCTACATAATGAGACTCTGTCTCAATAATTAAAGTCTCAGATTTTCTATATATTGCTTATCATTGTAGTCATGTGTCACATAATGGCACCTCCACCAAAAATGAACTGGGCCTATGACAACATATATCATCAGCATGGGCCATATAGCGCATGTGCGTGCTTGGCTGTACCATCTAGGTTTGTATAAATATACTCTGATGTATACATAAACACACATCGCCTAACAAACATTTCTCAGCATGCACTTCTTTATAAAATGATTAGAGGGTGTATGTACATTATACATACACACATATGCACCTATTTGTTATGAATATATGGAAGTGCATAAAATTAAACCTAAGTGGGGCCAGGAGATGGCTCAGTCAGGACACTGCTGGCCTCACAGCATGAGAGCCTGAATTCAGAGCCCCAGTGCCTATGTTGCACATGCCTCTAATTCTAGCACCAGGGTGGAGACAGGAGAATTCCCAGGGCCTGCTGGCTAGCCACATCAGTAAGCTCCAGGTTCACTTAAGAAGCTCTGTCTCCAAAACTAAGCTGTAGAGTGATCAAGGAAGAAATTTGATATTGACCTGTGGTCTCTATACATTGCACACACATGTGCACACATACACCGTACACATAAACCACGTGTTAACCTGAGAGTTGGAATTTCCCATAATGCATACACCAGCCCCTGCCTCATAGTGCCGTCCCCCTCCCCTACCCAGTGTGTGCTCCCTGTCGTCTTGTAAGACATATGCCTCCCATGTTTAAAAATTGAAAAACTTGCTGGGTACCGAGGCCTTTGTCCCTTCTTTTTGTCTAATGGATTTCATTGCCCTTGGCACTCTTCACTTTTTTCTCCTCCCAGATATATAGCCCTGGCCTTTCTGTGCGGGCACGTGCAGGGCCACCTCATTCTTTATTACATGAGCCTGCTCCCCCATCTGTGAAGTTAGGGGCCATGTGGGTCTCTAAGGGCCCTTGCAATCGAGGGCTCTGCTTTCCCAGCTTCGATTCTAAAAGGCAGTGCTAATGACTTCGTAATTGGATGTTTTTGTTTGTTTGTTTCCTAATGGAGTGTGAAGTACTCTGACAGTAAATCAACAAAATGGCCCTGGGAAGAGATGTTGGGTGCTCCTTGAGTTACCGGACATCGTACACTGCCTGGCTCACATTAACAAGCCAATAAATATTTGTTGAGCAAATGCCACCACTGGGAGCTTTACTGAAATACATGATATTGGCTCAAATTCATCTCCTCCTTTTCTGAGTGACCTTAGGCTACCCAATTTATATTTTAAAGGCACTTGTATGTCCTAAGGAAGCTAGGAAGAGCCTTGCTAAATATATGTCTACAACACCAATTTTATCCTGGTATAATAGGTTGAAATTTTGATTTTGGATCTTAAATCATAAAATCTTACTTGAAGAGGGGATAGTTTGGGCTATTTGATACAAATTTAGTGGCATGGGCAAAGTTCTTTATTATAATCAGTCTAATGGGCATTTATTATTCAGAGTCTCCCAGTGATTAGTTTTACTGAAATGAAGGGCATTTGACCCACAGGACACCAAAGCCATGTTGCTCAAAGCCCTAAAGAGCATTCCTAAAAAGAGAGGTTCCTGGTCCTTGTGGATCAGGGAATTCTTTGTGGTGGGTGTTGTTGCCCTTGTGGACCGCCTCATGGTTTGTTGTTGCCAGGCTCACACTGCTCCATCAGATTCCCGGCGTTATCATCACTTAAGCAACCGCCATCATCCCTTCTGCTATTTCTAATGGTAAATGCTCAAAATCGACAATGACAATAATGTGGCCCACATCTACCTCCGACTCATCAGCTAATGAGAAACAAGACCTAAGCCTGTCATAGGAAAACAACGATCCTTGTTGTCAGTGACAAGCGGTTGCCATTATTTTCACTTATTTGATGTTGTTAAGAAGCATCCAACCCTATTTGGATGTCATGCCTAATGAAAACTTAGTCTCCTCCTGAAGATTGACTTTAAGAAACTTGTTTTTGGCTTATTGCTAAATATAATGTTCTGGGCTGAAAATTAACAGATTAGTCCAGTCAATAATATAGACTTGACTTTAGAAAGACCAGAGAGACTGGCTTTGGCTATGACCCTGTCCACTTCCCCATCTTCCTTTCTGGTTTCACTTTTCTAAAGCTACATTGTAATGTATTCCTCCCATGTCATCCCCAGACAACCCAGGACCACCGTGGGTACTGGCGCTGTTTGGGAAACAGCTGGGAAAGAGAGCATCCGTTTATGAACCTATCAGGCAAAGCATTTGAATTGAAGTTCAGCCCTCATTGACCTCACTTTCCTACTCCTGACTTCCTCTCTGTGGTCAGGGTGTTGGTAACTGCTAACTTTCCTAAGCTGATTAGCGTCCACTTCTGGATCAATACTATAAAAATCATGGTCAGAAAATGTAGAGAAACACTGTGAGGGGGGAAGAGGCGAGCAGGTGTTGGGGAGGTAAACACAACCACCAGGCATGGACACTTGCCAGTAAAGCTCTTTAGAAATTGTCTTTTCCTGTGCTGCAAGTATATTGTCCTTCATTCAGTAACTCATCCAATCAATGCATATTAAGGCAGTGTCTTAAGTTCTTTTACTCAAGGAACCCCAGTGTTACACGATGACCCTAAATCTCTGTTTCCTCCACTCCCTGTGAGATTAAAAGATTTTTCTGAGGTTTTAGAGACAGACACTATCATCACTTGCTTAGTGGGATCATCTTAGCCATAAACTCCATACATACGTAGCTCAGCTACTAAGATCAACCCCCAAACCATGGGCAAAGTCGTTGAGAGATCATTGGAGTTAAGGACCTAAAAGAATAGCCACTTTTGAATTCACTTAAAATAATAAGTAATAATTGAATGATAAGCCAGAACTGTGTGAAACGTGGGGCTGGAGCTGACAGGTTCAAATGCCAACCATTGTGAGAATAATCTGAGGTTTTCCTTTGTGAGAGACCAAACGCCAGCCAGGCAGCAGATGCTGGGGCTGACAGCTCTCCCAGGAGCCTTTCTCCAGGGAGGTCAGGCACTCAGAGCGCCTACCTCTTTCTAAACAGGGGCTTGGAATCTCACCCCCTGTAGAACTGCTACAGCCGAACCACCTGACAGGAATATGATAGCAGTAATTCTTTGATCCTATTCCAGTCTGTGAGTCATAAAAGTCGTATGTCTGTAATTTGTCAAACCCCATAGGTCTTGCTTATGTACACAGTTACCTGGCTCCCTGCTTTGGGGCCCCACAAGCCTTGTCTTTGGGTTGCCATGGTGACAGTGATCAAACAGTAAATTTTAAGATAACATTTTGTTAGCAAGGCAAGGCCTTCGTGTGGTAGTTGGAGGTGAGGTTGGGACCGGGAAGTCACCCACAAGCACCAATAATCTGCTCTCATGTGTGAAGTTTCCCGTAAGATATGGCAGTGGGCAGGGTGGTACAGCTCACCTCTTATCCACGGGAAAGGCACAGCTCAGGGATCCGCACACCCCTTTAGAAGGGAGTGTACTGTAGAGCCTAACCTGGAAGCCCATCTCTGTCCTAGGAACTTACAGATTTGAGTGGGTTCAGGTCTATTCAGGCATGAGCTTTCCCACATGGCCCACAGAAACCTGTAGACTTGTCCCTGTGTTGTTAGGGTGGGTCAAGTTTATCATTAAAGAAAAGAATAACATATTAGCTTTCTCAATTAGTAGATTTCAAGGGTAGCTAGGCATCCCTTTCTCTACCTCCACATTCCTCAGTGACCTCCATCCCTGCCAAACAGGTTGGTCCGGTGGAAGAATTCTCTCCTGTGCTGGAGAGGTATGCCCCCTTACCCCTCCCCTGCCTCCACTGTCCAGGGAAGTCCTGCAATATGCATGGGACATTTCTGCAGAAGCAGATTCTACCTTGTCATCTCTCTATCTTAAAAGTGGTTCATTATTGCCTTTTGCTTGGGAAATGTGTTTGTTGAGTTAAATCAGTAAGAGGCACTTTCAGACTTTGTGACATGTTTTGGTTACCTT